CCCAGAGAAGCCATAAAATGTTTCAGACACATCGTTTACATTCCCAGCAGGAGATTGATGCAAGCTCTAACTCCTGCATTCCTCTGCCCCCCACCTCTTGTCTTCTCTGAATACTATAAAAACTGATCTGTTACACCCATTAAAGGAGACCTTGACAAATCTGCTTGGTCTCGCCTCCTTTTTCTCTCGCCCATTCTCTTTACAGGCTGGGTCCCCCTCGCCCCCCGAATAACCGTGTCCCGCAGGACGGGACAGTCAATGCCTTCTCCGCTTGGTGACCACTCTTTGTGGCCAGCCAGCAGGAATAGCTGAAGCCTATCAGCCTCAGGCACTCAATGGGAGCTGTAGAATATTCCACTTTGGTTCAATCTAAGCCTGGAATTTGTTTTCTTGAAGTCGTGGTTTGCCTCGGTGGGGAGGATGTGTGTTTATCTATCTCTTCTCTCAGTTCAGCTCTCTACCTTCAGCTTTGTTGGGTTCTTCTGGAAGTTATCTCTCTCCTTGAACTGATGTTTATGTTGAAAGCTAGCTCTAGTCGGCTCTCATCCTCTATTCCTCCAAATTCTTATTGAATGTGAAAATCTTAATTAGGGAATGTAGCCAACCCGGAGATTTAGCAAAGTACAAAATACATTGAAACAAGGCAGACAAATAAACAGACTAGAATGCTACCAGACATATAAGCACTCCAATGCCCAGACACTCAGCTACATGTAAACAAACAGACAAAGAAGTAAACAGAGCAACAGACAAACCAGTCAACTAACAGATCAAAAATGAAAGAAGGGAGAAAGAAAAAGGAAAAAAAATAGTGATAATAAAAGATAACCACAGAAATGTTGGTCATAAAATGATAGAGCAAACAAATAGGAAAGCAAACAATCCAAGAAGAGAAAATATCAAAATATATATATAATAAAGAGTAAAAAATTAAAAATTAAAAAAAGGAAAAAAAAAAGGAAAAGGAGGGCACCACTAGGAAAATTACTTTTTTTTTTTTTTTTTGAGTATATACAAACAAGACTCTTTTTCAAAGCGGTGCGGTTCCAGTTTAAAAAAATATATATAATTATGCTGTAGAATATTTTATAGACAACAGGTGGCGCTGTGAGTGGTCTCTACACTAATACCAAAAATAGGGGAAAAGAGGGAAAAAGAAAAAAAAAAAATATATATATATGTGTGTGGAGAATCTTTGCTGGCAGGATGCCAGATTCTCCCTACAACAGTTCCCGCAGAGTGTTGGGCGTCTTGGATTAACTTCAGATGCCAGATAGCTCACTGCAGATCAAATTGAGTTCTCTGCACTTCTGGAGGAGGTGTTATGGAGACGCCATCTTGGAGGTTTTACTTTACCTCTGGTTCCTGTCTGGCCGCCCGCTCCTATCTGTCCTCCGAATTTGGGACACAAGTTTGCACTTCGCCAGACTTTTTCTCAACTCCTAATTTCCCCTGGAACAGAAAACCCTTGTGGTCTGAGGGAAAAAAGCTGGGGCCGCCCCTTTTGCGGTCCGTGTTCAGTTTGTTTCCAGAGTAGGAGGGGCTACAGCCACAGCCGCTGCGGCCGCTGCTGCCGCCCATCGCGGCGGGACGTTCAAAAGATTTTTCAGTGTTTGTAGGAAGGGAACCGATTCCCTGCACTCAACTCCTGGTTTCCTCTCAAACAAATTTGTGTGGTCCAAGGGGAAAGAGCTAAAGGGCTCCTTTTGCCCTCGGAATTTAGTTTGTTTCTGATGGGGGAGGGGCTATAACTGCTGCTCCTGCAGCACGTTCAAAAGACTCTTCAGTGATTGCAGGACGGGAACCGATTCACCCTGCCAGTCACCGCCGCGTCAGTGCAGCTCCACTCAGACTTCCAAAATTATAGGATGGATTGGTTCCCAAGCAGAGTCCCTTCCCCTTGAGTTTCTGTCCGAATGCCTGGATCCCTGACACCCCAAACTGGGTCCAAATGTCTCCCATTTCTGGCCACCAAATTCTGCCCAGGAATCCACGCCTCACCACACTCTCTGCGAGAGATGCAAACTCCCCGCGAATTGGGCACAGGAGCCTTTCCTGGGGGGAGGGATTGGTTTCTGTCTCTCAGGAAGCTAGCCGCGGATCTGGCGCCACAGGGCGCAGATGGTGCCCTTTCAGCTGCTGCCCTGAGTTTTTCTGGCTGACACCGTAGTTCTGGGCTACACTTCCAATCCAGCAATTCACCTCTTTGCTGCTCACCCTGCGCTGCTTATCCGCACAAGGACTACACGCAGAAGAGATTCAATAAGCCCACTCTCACCTGAAACCACCAGGAGAGTTGACTCAGGGATGCATCTCCTCCGCCATCTTGCTCCGCCTCCCTTGACCTTTTAGAATCTTAAGTAAGCAAAATATATAAGCAGATTCACACCATGTATGGTGTGCGCTGACCCCTTTAATTCTTAGAAAAATCAGAGTTTCCTGATAGCCAAAAGAGAGATCTTTTTCCCGTTGAATGGCTAAATCAGAGGCAACTTTTATTAATACTCCCTGTAAAATGGATCCAAATGAAGTTAGAGAAAAATGACCCCTCTGGAAATAAGAAGACCAAATCTAATTCACATACTATGAGGACTCCAAAGACAGTTTAAACTGACATAGAGAATTTGAGAATTTGAGCAGAATAAATACTGTTGAGAGTAATTCATGAGAAAAAAAAATAGCATTTAAAGATCCGAGTTTTATAGGCTTGGAGAAGACAGCATCTTACAGACAGCATCTGCCAAGAAAGGAAAAACTAACAAAAATTGATAAATGAGGCCAGAATCACAAAAGAGAGAACTGAGGAGCCAGAAGTCAAATGAAAACAAGGTCGTTCTCTGCAGACATCTGGGGACCTGCTCTGCTGGTAACAAGGTCAGTCCCCAGGGAGAGGCACTGTGTGGGAAGGGGCACCAAAGTGCTAAGGCCAGTGAGACCCCAGGCAACGCCTTCCACAAGGAGGAAGAGAGCTGCAAAGGGCTGCTCCACCACCCGCTGTCCATCACACAGTCCAAGAAGAGCCCAAGCTCTTATACAAACACTGTCTTCATGGTTTACACGCTTGCTGGTACCACGCGCTGCTGAAAGTCCCCTGAAGGATTTCATTATTGTGGTCTTCACTTCACAGGCAGGAGAGATGAAACTCAGAGAGGTTAAGTAGCTTCCCACACTCATAGAGTAGGTAGTGGGGCTGAGATTTAAACCCATGTTCCTGTGGTCTACACTGCCCATGTCTCAGTCCATGCTGGCTATATCTGGGGCTCCTCTAGTTTCCAACCTTACATGCCAGCCCCAAACAACCACCATTCTGCTGGGTCTTTCTACACCACTAAAGGCCACCATCTTGGGCCAAGCCGAATTTCAGTCTGTACCAAAAACCAAACAAACAAACAAACAAAAAAATGGTTAATTGCTGATGCAAGAAGGTAAAGGACTGCAGGATACAGGCCTCTCTGAAATCTGCCAACTAGTCCTCATTTCCATAGCTCTCCCATGTCTTTGGACAATTTATTTATGCAATTTATCCATTATTTTCCGCATGGAGAATGCTAGTCAGCTGTGGCCTACTACCTCCTACTAAGAAGCAGAAGTCACTATGTGGTTTTTGAGTTAATAAAAACAAACGGCCCAATGAATGAACCAGTGAATGAAAGCAGCAATGGAAAGACGGTGCCAGCGGCAGAAGAACTGAAACAAAAGCCCAGCACCACCTGGGGCCTTGACATTGGGGAAGTCAGGAGGGCCTCGACTGGGCTGCAAGTTCCCTTCCCCACTCTGCTCCCACGATAAGATCCCCTCGCCAAACACCACCTCTCACCAGGGAGACCAGCATAGTTCCTACTCATCCTGTGCAGCAGTTTCCAGACCCCAGGCAGCCGAGGAAGTTCTCAAACAAGCAGATCACATTCCCCCACCATGGGCAGAGCCAGGGGCCACCGCACCCTTTGGTTACTACAAGCCTGGTTCCCAGGACCCTGGTTCTGCCCTCTGCTCAATCTGTGTGGGGTCCTGCACGGCACTGCCAAGCTGTGAGTTTACATGCATGACCCAGAAACACCGTCAATCTCCTGTGTCCAGGGATGGGTGTTCTGTGTCCGGCCATCCCCATAACCTTGGGGCGGGAATCCTCCCGCACCAAGGGAAGTGGGAGAGATCGGGACAGCGGGGACACTCACGCAAAGGTCAAGCGCTCCCAGTGTCGCAGCTCGGCCTGCTCCGCCACTGAGGCCTCCGGGGAATCTTCCTTCAGCCTCTGCCGCACACGTTGAATGCCCTCCCGGTCCCTGTCCCTCTCCTCGGCCTCCAGCTGCTCAGCCCGTGCCGCCATCTCCTCCCTGTGCTCCTCCAGGATCTGCTGCAGGAAGAGCCAGGGCACACTGCGCTTGAGCAGCTCCTGGGTCAGCGCAGAGCTCTGCAGCCGCCTCAGCTCCTCCGTGGCCTTCTCAAACAGTGAGAGGGTCAGGGCCCTGAGGTCGTCCAGGGCAGCCTGGTCCAGACGCTCCTGCAGCTCCTCCAAGGCGGTGCAGTGCTCAGCCATCAAGCCCCGCCACTGCTGCAGGTACTGGCCCACGTCCTCGGCTGCGTGGAAGGCGTCCCTGACCGACAGCTGCTCATTCTGCTGCTCCTTGTGCTGCCGAGAATTTTAGGAGAACAGTTAAGTGGGAGCGGGGCCTGGTGGGTGCAGCCCTTTGAGAAAACACTTTGGAAATTTGTTAAGACACAGAATGCTGATGGCCTTTCCCCCCATAACCTGACATGTAGAAAACTATCCTTTATAAAGTAAAACTAAAGACAGTGAAAACGTCATGTTTTCAACACTCATTGAACAGGTATAGATGGAGTAGGTCAGCCCTGGAGACAGGCCATGGGGCTCCAATCCTGGCTGCTCCATTCACAAGCGGAATGACCCAAAGCAAGTGTCTCAGCCTCTCTGTCCCCATTTCCTAATCTGTAAAATGGGGTGTCACAGAGTGGTTGTATTAATTGTACTGTAATATATACATTTTGGTGTGGAATTCACACCAGTAAGCATCTCGGTTGTCATTACTGTGTGCCAGGCACATAATGTCTACAAATTGTGATATTATGGGGGGAGGGAGGGGAAGAAACTAAGATGATGAGATGTCATAAAGGAAGAGGCCAGCAAAGGCCCTTTGAGTACGAAATGGGACAGAACATTCCTGGGAGCAGCACAGTGGGGTAAACAAAGGCCCTATCATGGAAAAAGCTGCCATGCCGGAGGGCGGTGCTCGTGGTGCTATTTGTAACAGTGGGTCCACAGAGAGGCTCAGTCATATTGGAGAGAACACAAGATGCTCTTCCCTTTGTTCTTGGGCCCTGGTAAACAGAAAGTGTCAATTCATTCACTCCATAAATGTTTATTAAGCACCTACTTTGTGTCAGGAGGTGTCCTCAACACCAGAGATAACATAGATTTTTGTCTTCATAGACCTATATGCTAATTGTGGGCCACTCACAACATCTATCAAAAGTAGCTATCAGAGATGATATTCACAGAAGCCTTCTGGAATCTCTTCTAAGATCTGGAGTGCCATCCCTCCAGATACTAACACTGGATTGGGCCAGACCATCGGGGAACTGTGGTCTTGGGCCCTGTTGTTTTGATCCCCTATTCTGTGGCTGGGAGGGGACTGGAGTGCGCTCAAGGACATGACACTCTTCAGTGATCAAGGTCAGAAGCATGGCTTTCTGTGGGGCCCAAGCTTGGTAATAAAAAGCAGAGTTTCTACTGATCAAATATGAAAATTATTCAGCATCCCCTCTTCTTCCCCCAGATGGTACTACATAGGTGTCATCCAGCAAGTGCCACATGTCTCATGCTCCACGCTGTAGTTTAGGCACTCATCAGTTCCTGCCTAACCACGCACCAGAGCCTCCCAGGGGCCTGTACTTCCAGGTTCCTCCAACTCCACCCAACACGAGCTTCCTAAATCACAAATCTGATCTCTCGCTCTCTGCCTAAAAACCCTCAAGGTTCCCACCATCCTTGAGTAAAAGGTGTTTTCTTAGCCTGGCATGTCATGCCCTCACTGGCAGGGCACTACCTCCCCGACAGGTCCATTCCAGATGCTGCCCTCATCCATCTGCATGCTCCAGCCCCATTGTGCTCTTGGAGCTCTCAAACACATGCCTTATGTGCTACTTGGTATTCAGCCTTGACCACGGTAATTAACACTCTGAGCTTCAGTGTCTTCATTGAAAAGAAAATAAAAAAACCTAGCATTTCCTTCTTAGAGTTCACATAAGGATTGCACAAGATATCTAATGTAACACGCTCAGCACAGTGCTAAGAAAACACTCAATAAATGTTAGGATCTATCATCACCATTTGTCATTCAAACCAGCTATTCCCTTGCCTGTGCAGACATGACTAGTCTACCATGACGATCTACTATACAGAGGCAGGACAGGACCTGCAGAATCCTGCTTGACCCAGCATTCCAGTCTCTTCCAATCAACTGTGGATGCCACATTGAAATACTTGCCCAGCAGCCCTTCCATGCATGCTGATGGCAATGCCTGGCATAGAACCTGGCACTTAGTGGGTGCTCAGAAAAGGTTATGAAAAGAACAAATAGCATGGCTCGGCGCCTATAGCTCAACCGGCTAAGGCGCCAGCCACGTACACCTAAGGTGGAGGGTTCGAATCCCCAGCCCGGACCCGCCAAACAACAATGACAGCTGCAACC